GTGAACAGTTTAATTTAAATGCATAAAATAAGACTGACACTCATGTTTTATTTGATAATTAGAACCAGAACTTTCAAGAATTTTATGGTGCTCCAGCTGCATGAACCTCTACTTTTATTCCAGGTGTAAAAGAGATAAATTCTTCCTTTTCCTTAATGGAACAGAACATTCAAATTTACTCTTCTTAATAGTATTTTCACAAGGAAAATAATTATTACCCTGCTTTTAAATAACTCTGCTTCATTTTCCATCTTGTTAGCAATGAAAATTTATAGCAGACTTTAATTTAATGCGAAAAAATACATATTTTTGTTAAATGCCTTAATCTGCATTTAAGGTACAGATCCCACTAACTAGCTCATTCCTTGATTCTAAGCTTGCTCTTAGTGAACTCGTGGAAACCCCTAAATACATGAAAGCCCAAGAGGACATGGACGTGGAAAAAGATCAGTTTTTCTCAAAATGGAAGGGAGGAACTGCTGGTTCCTCCCTTCTGGAATGCTATATGTAGAGGCAGCCATTTGTTATCAATTCCTCTGCCCCCTATCCCCCTGTATAATTATGGTTAGCGTTACAGGTAGTCCTTGCTTAACAACTTTTTGTTCAGCAACCATTCAAAGTTATGACAGCACTGAACAAAGGGACTTATGACCACTACCCAAAGTTATGGTGATCTGGACCTTTGGCAATCAGTTCACCCTTATGACTGATTGCCAAGTGCCTCGTGATCACATGATCGCCATTTGCAATCTTTCCTGCTGGCTTCCCCAGAAAGTCAATGGGGAAGCTGGCAGGGAACGGTGAAAATGGCATACATGTGACCATGGGATGCTGCAACTGGTCGTAAGTGTGAGCTGGTTGCCAGGCATCCAAATTTTGTTCATGTGACTGCAGGGGTGCTGCAATGGCTGGAATTTTGAGGACCAGTATAAGTCCTTGAGGACTTATGTCCCTTTGTTCAATTTGGTAATGTCATAACTTCGAACAGTCACTGAACGAATAGTCATAACTTGAGGAGTACCTGTAATGCTAAAGGAAAATAATGACACTGATTCTAAAATAATTTTTGTCTGCCACAAGGCAGATTTCAGTACCCGAACTGACAATTAATGACAACAAAAGATGAATTTCTAGAGTTGATTTGTAAAACTGAAAACAAATTAGATCCAGATGTGAAAATTCTCTATTAACAAAAATATGCTATATGTCCCTTAAATTTACTTTTCTCTCAAACAACTGGAAAGAAGTCAAAGCAAGTTTGAGAGGGAATATATTTAAACCACTGATTTCATCATTTTTCATGCAATTTACTGATAACCCCACAGAATATTCTCAAAAATCCATTCTTCCTTTCATATTCTTTAATGGCTGATCACACCAATAAAGAGTAGCAAAGATCACATTCACTTGATGGACTTTGTAGTTGTGTGTTGGCTTTTTTCCCTTAATCTACAAATGTTATTGAGCTTTCTTGCTGTCTTC